GGGGGGGGGCGGTCCTGATGCCACAGCTTTCCCATCTCCTCCAGCCCTTCTTCCTCAGCAGCCCCATGCTCACCGTGAAAGTCTGGATACTGGTTTTGTAATCCAGACCCCCTGGCAAGTGAATGAGAAGCGGGCGGACTGCTTGCCCTTTCTGCCAAGACAGATTGCAGGGTCAGTCTTCCAGTGGCCAGAGGCCCCAACTTCCTATCCCCCACCAGGGAGTCCCAAAATGCCCAGCCACCTGTACCCCCGTCCCCTCCAGTACCAGGAAAGCCTGAATTTCACCCGGAGAAGGCAGCCGCCGGCGCCCCCCATATTTGACTGTGTGCTGGAGGTGCTCCTGGCTTTTCTGGGCCAGCTCTGCAGAGGGGAAGCAGGCTGGGGTCACAGGCGTCTCCAAACCCCTCGCCAAGCTGTTGAGACCCCAGGCTGGAAGTCCCTCCCATAGGCACCTTGGCTTGGGCCTGAGTCCTGCAGAAACTTGGTCACATAGGGCATCAGCGTGGTTGACGGGGGGAAGAAGCCTGCGAGGAGGCTGAGGAAGCTCCAGCCACGAGCACAGTGTTCCCTGCAGGGCAGAGAGCCTGGGCTTCAGGCTGGCCAGATCCCGGCCTCAGCACCGGGCTGTCCTCCCTGCTCCCCCTGGCTCAGCATACTCACTGCTGAGGGTGTCCTGTGACCTGTTTGATGACTTGGCAGTAAATCTCATCCCTGAGGTTCTCCTCCCGACACAGCTGTGGGGGCAGGGTGGCATGGGGTCTAAAGTCAGGGAGAAATCCCGCTAACGGCCACGGGCAGGCGGCCAGCTCTTGGTCTTTGTCACAGCTTGTGCCCCAGTGGTCACTTTCTAAATCACTGTTTTCGTCTGCTTATGGGCTATGCTCGGCCCTGTCTTCTCTGCTGGCTCCCCTTATCCTTGACCTCTAGGGAACACTGTGCCCTCGGGCCTCTGTCTATGTGCCCTGATGATCTCAGCTGCTCCCACCTGCTGTCTGCCAGTGCCTGCCTCCAGCCTAGACTTCTCCCTTGAACCCAGGCCCCCTGCTTGGAAGAGTGGACCCCAGATTTCACATGCCCAAAACATTCCTGCACCAGCCCAGATCTGCTCCTCCCTCGGGCCTTCGTATTGAAGAGGGTCACTGCTCTGCCCAGGGCCTCGGTGACACCCTTGGCCCCTCTCTGTCACACCCCACATATAATTCATAGCAAACCCTGTTGCTCTGAGCATTTTCCCCTCTGCTGCTACCTGTGGGCTCAGCCAGCAGCACCGCCCTCACCTGGTGATTGTGGCCATAACCTCCTCTGGCCCTTACACCCCCCTGGGAGGGGTGGCAAACAGCCAGAGCCATCTCAAAGTGTAAGCCAGTCCCTCTGCAACCTCCTCGAGTGCCCCTCCTCTTGAGAAATCAGAGTGCCAGTAATAGCCTACGATGGCCTGCCATAACCTGGACCTGCCACCCCTCCCAGGCCTTATCCTCCACCCTGACCTGGCTCGCTGGGCTCCAGCCGTGCTGGCCTTGCTGGTGCTAGAGACTCGCCCTGATCAGGACTGTCACCCCTGCCCCTCTCTCTGCCCGCATGTGTTGCCCGGATGCACACGTGCCTCTCTCCCTGGCTTCCCTCAGATCGCTGCTCCGGTGTCACCTTGTCACCAAGCCTCTGCATTGTAGCAGCCCCTTCCCTGCTGTGTCATTCCCCACAGCACTTTGAACTCTTGGATACATTGTGTCATGGTTTTGCGACTGTCCTCTCTCACCAGATTGTAAGCTCTGCGAGGACCTGGCCTGCTTGGTTCACGGCCATGCCCCCAGCATGTAATGGGGACTCAGTAAATTTTGGATCATTTGAAAGACTAGTGGCCAAGGGAAAAGGGAACTCACTCAGGCCCGGGCATGAAGACTGGAACAGACCCTTGGGCACATGGTACCCAACCCCCCACCCCCAACCAGCTTTCAGCACACAAGCTTTTGCCTACCCTCAGCAGCTCGTAAAGGAGCTCCGACTCATTCTTGCCCCGGGGCTTGGGCTGGTCCTGCATGAACTGCATCAGAACTGCAGGCAGGAGGAGAAGCTGGTGAGCTGGGTGGGGGGCCTGGCCCTGGCTCCTGTCACCAGACAGGGCTTTCCCCATCGTCTCCTGCCTTGCTCTTGAAAATGCACGGGAGCCAGGCAGAGCAGAGCAATCTCCACATCAGCGATGAGGAGACCGGGCTCTGAGAGAGAGGGGTGCCGTGGGCACCTGTGGCTGCATACGGCCCAGAGCCAGCTGGACATACTGCGGCCTGTCTGTCCAGACCATACACGACCCACCACTCCTT